TAGCACGCACTGTTGTAACAAGTTTGTTTCTTTGTTTGCTCGACGACAAAACACTTACCCGCGTAGCCGGAAGTGGCCAGCAGGAGCAGCACAATCGAGCAGCCGTCCCTCATGCCTGCAGAGCAAGACTGTGGCCCCGGCCGGCCTTGGCCTGCCCGCCACGCAGACATAGGCGGAGTTACCGATGACAGAAATTCTTTACGTCAGCTGTGCTCCACACGCTTTAGACATTTCTTTCTGAAGGAATCTGGTAATTGCACTGATTCAAACGACAGAAGAGGATTATTGGATTAAATGGTTGAATGCGCCTCGCCAATCTCAATGCCGTTTCTGTCTTCAGATGTTGCTCTCCGTTCTTTCTTTGTTTTTCTGTCTTTGCAAATGTCGCCTTCGGAGATCCAAACATGACTGTAGAACCATCACATCTAACTTGGAGAAAATTCCACTGCTTAAAATTGTATTTAATTGTACACCAGTGCATTATTTTCGCTGTTTCTATTGTTGACAGTCTGTTACCTGTAGATTTTGTTGTTTTGTTGATATACGCATCAACCCTTTGAAGTCCAGTCCAGGGGCTTTATGTGGAATTATCTACGACCTGTTTTAATAATCTGTAACTCTGCATTTTGTCCACAGTGTATTATGGTTTTTTAGTATGATTATCTCTGTAAACAGCGTTAATATCTTTGTAATTGTGGAGTGTTTTTCTTTTCGGTACGGACTGAATTGTTGAACATTATTTAAACGAGATTCGGCTTCGGAGAGTCAAACTGTCAAGTTTGTGAGGTAGTCCAGTGGCATTTATCGACTTTGTTTGTTATCGACTTGCAACGTGTTCAAACTTCAGGACGAGATTCGGCTTCGGAGATTTAAACTGTCAAGTTTGTGAAGTAGTCCAGTGGCATTTATCGACTTTCTTTGTCATCGACTTGCAACGTGTTCAAACTTCAGAACGAGGTTATGTAGGTCTTTACATCATATGAGTTACACTGAGTACTAAACAAAGGACTGTGCTTATATTTCGGCTTATTGCGTAACCATCCAGTTATAGTAGAAATGAAACCCTTTTCGTTCCACGACACTCAGAAGTGGACGTACGGACAGACGTCGCCTCCAGATAAGGAGTAAAGTAAAAGAATGAAGGAGGTTTTAGTTCGCCTCGAACGTAAAGTTGGCTGCACTGAAACATGTAGCAAATAAGTCGACAGAACTCACTTTTGAGAAAACTAAAAAAGCGCTAGCAAATACACTTTTTAAAGTTACTCTAGGTGCGTAATTGTTTGAAAAAGTTACAATTCGCCAAAATATTTCGCATGTAGTGTTTTTTTAGCTCTTATTGTTTTAACAAGTACTCGCGCGTGGTAATGTTGAAGGAACATAGCACGACTCATGTGGTAATATTATTTTTCACTGTTGGGGTGGCCTATTTAAGTCGATGTGGGTTCTGATGGTTTCTGTATGACCAAAAACTAAACAAAATCTAGTTGAAAAATAAAATAAGTTGAACACTTTTTTTTAGTAGGAGACAAACGAAGTGATTGCCTTGATAATAGAGCAGTTCTCTGATAAACTGGACTTGAATGGTTCTGTAGATGACCGTTGTTATATTTGTCTTTTGGATTTATTAACTTGTTTTGTTTAAAATGTGTCAGATGGCTGTTTTCCTTTGTACGCAATTTGTTTAATTCCTGATCAATAATTAAGTGACATTTAGTTGTATTTTAGATTATAACCCACGTTAACGGATTTAACGCACGATCCGGCCAGAAAGTTAACTCATCCTCAGCAATTATATCCTTGTTATCCGTAAGTGTGTCTGCAAGTTCGGATGGAGATTTTGTTGCACGGAAATTTGAAATCAAGCTTAGTTTCACTTGTTAATAGTAATTTGATTTCCACTGCTTACAAATTCTGTAGTGGAATAAATAATTAAAACTTTCTTAACACGTACTTTTAAACAAGTAAATAATAAATTCCGTTACAGAGAAAAATTGAGGTTAGGTTTGTTTGTGAAAGCAACCCCATGACGTGGTTTCGAGTAAGTTCTGCAGACTCTTACTACATAATACTGTTCATCGAAGTGTTGACTTCCGCGAGACAAGTGTCAAGGTCCCTTTTGAACTTGAGGAAGTCTTCGCCTGGCTCGTTGACGCAGCCGACACCACCCAACTTGTGCATCCGCGCGTAGTCCTGGCAGTCCACCTCGCCGTCTCCGTCACAGTCCTGAGAAAGACGACCAACTGTTGAACAACTTTAAACAAGCATCGTGGTGACTTTTTATTGGAATGGCGTTCCATGACGTATCACGGATGTAAGAAGCGGTGGTACATCTCGTGAAACCGTTCCATCTGTACGTCAGTGGATTACAGAATTCTGTCTTTGATCGATGGAAGTGTGGCGAGGAGGAACTTGGCTACAAATGGCGTTGTGCCAAATTGCGGACTGCTAATCGTTTTATGCCAGAAGGACTGATTTAGTAATTTGTTTACAGCTGTTGGAATATTTTAATTAATGGGACATACTTTTGTTTTTATTTAAATGATGATCCAACGAAAAAAAAAAAGCAGAACCATGCAAGAAAATGAATCAGCATTGTGAACACAGCAGGGTCAGAAAGCTGCGTTTATATTAAATTATGATAATTGTGATATTATACTTCTTCAAAAACCATAATTGGAAAATCTCTCGCGGAAATTTCGACTGCTCTTCTATCGATCAAGGAGCAGTTACTGTCAGCCTCAACATCGCGTAGTGCACACTGTTATCAAAAGAGGCTCTGGTGATATGACTCTGTCATTAGAATATAGATGTCACTGCCTGATATAAGTACGCCGACTTTAGTACAAGTCCGTAAATCTGGTCTGGAGGAAATGCCATAAATTTTGTAAAATCTAATTTACATCTTGTGTAGAGAAAATACCATTGCCAAAACTGAGTTGAATTCAGATTAAGTTTGTGGTCTGTAAAGAGGATATCCGGAAATCAGAAAGTCGCATGCGCAGTAGGGACCTCGCTTACCTTCTTGTATTTGCTCATGTATCCGCGAACAGTATTCACTGCGCACTGTGTATCCATTGCGCAGGTCTCCCAGCCTGGGAACAGACAATAAAGTGCTACAGCTCATGCGCAATGAGTCTTTCTGTGTGCTTAGAGGCTACTCAACGTTGTGTGTCATACCTCCTCCACCGAGGCTCCCCCCATCTATCCAGTAGTCTCTGATGATCTTGAAAGGCCCGCAGACGTCGTGGTCACAGCGGAACTTGAGGTCGCACTGGGAGGCAGCCTCACAGAGACACGTGAGGCACAGGTCGGACACGGCCCCACCTGTTGCCACAGGGCGGTAATATAAGGAAGCACAGTTGCATCACTCACAGAGGAATGAGCCTTTACAAATGCACCCTTTCTGCTCGAATTTCTTGTACCAAGCGTAAATGGATACTCGTCTGGGTGGTTCCATGTAAAATTGTGTGCGAAATGAACGTTGCATAACTGTTGCAGACTCTTCCTTCGCTAACTTCAGAACACCAACTACTCTGTTGTGGGTTAGCCAATTTTAAAATCTAGTTGAGACGCGTAACAAAAAACTTCGGGAGGTTTTCTATCCAGTGGGTGTGAAGTTCGAAGTAAGCCGCATTTGCTTTCTGTATCGTTTTGAAAGTGTGAAGTTATTTTGTGCTCACCCTGTATATAGACAGTGGAGTCTACAGTCCAACAGTAACATTAAATTTCGCTCATGGGTTAGTGCACTGGGTTTGTACGTAGATGGTCATGGGACAGGATCATATTCGAGTCAAAATTTAGTTATTATTCGCAATTATAAATATGTTATTGTTATAAAATATAATACCTTCGCTCTCCTGTACATCTGAATGTCGTGATACTTACAACTGTGTTGTTTTGTTATTATCTTATCATCATTAAATAATTGGATTGAACTGAATTGTCGTGGCGTACGGCCATGTTTGTGCTGTTGGCGCGACAGCTGACTTGAGTATTGGTTATGGCCGCCAGGAAAGATGTTTGCAGGGGCGCGTTCTAATGGAAACTGACGTTACCCATTCGTCTTCTATGTCGAAATTGCCGAAGATGATTCTTTCTCCCTATGGATCGTTAGTTTTTCTCCCGTTTCTGTCTGTGAGAAATACGAGTCGCTGATCGTCCACCTCGAGATAGTTCTTCTTAATGAGGTCTGCACCAATTAGCCTTTTAAAATCATTTAATAAAGTTAACATATTTATTGAGGATGTGACCTAACTTGAAAGTTGCAATGCCTCGCTTATTTCCCTATTCAAAAACCTTCAAGATTCAGTCAATGCGAGTCTACTGTAACTTAGTCGACATCCTCGGGAATCGTGGTCTTCCACAATCGGTCCCTGGACGAAGAACGAAGTCACTGTATCTGTTAAAGTGAATTCTCAGCAGAAGCCTATAACGAATTGTGCTGAAGCTGATAATTTTCCAGCTTTATACGCTGTTGCTGCTACTCACAGTGGATTCCCAGTCGTGAGATGAGAGCAAAGAAAATTTTAGGAAAAATGAATCCCCACTCTACAGAAGGAAAAGGTTCTAGGAAAAGTGAGAAACGTTTGATTGGTGTTTGAAATTGTATTTCTGTCTACGACTGTTTGTCCGTCTGTGTCACGTTTGAGCCCTGCAGTGACCACACGTGACATTGAAAATTCACTCAGTTGACGTCATTAACATGAAACAGGTTAAAGACGAAATATAAATCTTGTCTGTGAGTACTTTCCTCTTTCAGTAACGCTGGGGTGCGGCCCAAAAAGGTTAAAGCAAAGCCATCTCACTATACGCCATGAAGGCGCTTGGGGGGAGAGGCAGTATAGCTCCTACTCATTCTTAAACTCGGCACTAGATGGGGGTGATTGGTCAGCGCCACTCCCCTGCCGCGTTTTAACCCCTGGGAAAAGGACCCCAAACCAGATTCATTCCTCTGCAGATCCCGTTTTGTTGCCCTCAGAAAAAACTCTTGTTCCTGCCTTGAATAATGATAATGGAGAAAAGAAGGTGCCTATCGGCTTCTACCGACTAATGAATGGCCTTCAGTCAAAACAGTGATAATGTAAATGGCTAGTTGACATCCTAACATCTGTTATCAAAACGTTAGAGGTTTAATAACGAATTATGTTGAATTTTATAATACTGCATGTTCCATATATTATAAAATTATTTGTTAAACGGAGACGTGGCTAGTCGACTCTACTAATACTCATAATAGTTTTCCTTCTAATTGCAGGAATTTTTTGTTGACGATAATGTAGCTCAGACTGGTGGAACGTTAATCGCGGCCTTTGTCTCTGTGTGTGTGTGGAAAACTCCGTGTTGCCTAGACCACGGCCTTGCCCAACACAAGTTATAAATTCGGGCACCGCCGGGAATCGAACCCGAGACCCCAGGATTACAAGTCCAGCGTTCTAACCGCTAGACCACCGTGGCAGTTTTATATATATAGCAAAAATTCGGTTCAGAATTGCCTCAATAGTTTTGAAAGTGTTTTGTTGGCGCGGTCTTGTTTAGCTATTTCAAATTTCGTAACAAACATCGTTTATCTGTAATAATCACTATTATTCTAAACGGAAAGGAGATGCGAAATATGCTTCCAACTGCCACGTGTTTACTTGGGTTTTAACAGTGTAATGCCTGATGTTGGTAGGAATTTGCTCGATATTTTTTTTTAAAATTATTTACTTACGTGGCATAGAACGCTGAGTTAGGTTTGGTAACACCTAATTATCGTCACTCACCGTTAGTCACTGATATGTTGTTTCCAAACGGTCGCTATTACAGAATACAGAATCAAAGTCCTTCGTACGTCCTTATATTCAAAAAGGTCGACCGATAAATACAGTATATTTTCTACCTTTACTGTCTTCATTTTATAGATAAATTGTCTTTGCATTTGCATTTATCTCCCCCCCCCCAATTACTTACGACGTAATTTTCTCCAGTAGCTGCTGGGCCAGCAAGTTAAAATGTAAATTGAAATAAATCTTGTTTATATACGTCGCCATGTTTCTCATCGTTGGCGTATTAGTGTAATATTTTTTTTACATATTATGTAGACTGGGGTGATTTATATAACGAAAAGCTTCATAATCTGTATCTTCGCCAAGTGTTATTAGGATGCGCGGGGAATGTAGCACGCATGGATTAGGCTAGGAATACTCTCAAAAATTGAAAAGGAGGGCGCACACATCGAACGATATGAGAAGGTTACTCCCCCATCCACATTTGAAATGAAAGTGGATTTATACGAGATCGGATTTTGTATTTGTGGTTGGCAGAATCAGGAACATTGGAAGTGTTGGTAGTCATGAGAGCGGAGGCTAAATGAGTCATTTTTCATGCTGCAGAAAACAGACGATTGTGTTGGTATAAAAATGACAGATGAAAGAAGGAAAGGGAGAGACAACGAGGAAGTTTGGCATGGAGCAGTGAGGGCTAGAATATGTCCAGTCTGTGTGAGGGGCGTGCGAACCAAAATGCGAATATCCGTGCCAGCAGGATGTGGTGACCAGCTGACCACTTCCCCCTACAGGGAACCAACAGAAGACATGCGTGCCAACATGGCGACGTTAAGTGCTAGCCTGTTCTGCAGTTCACTGCAGGTCTAATAATAGTAACTGAAAAAAAAAATTCAGGATTCCTTATCCTTGTTTAACAGACAAATATCTTTATTGTTAATCCTGTTAAAATATCAGCTTTAGGGGTCTGTGGGACGCCTTCACGCGATGCACACCTCGTTTTAATAAACGAGGCTGTGGAAACCGAGTACAATTATATTTTATACGCATTGGAAGGAAGACCGCTTAATCGTGAATTGACTTTTCGTCATGGCGATGAAGCCAACCTTAAATGCGGTGTAAAGTGAATTCTGTTGCGAAATTTAAATTATTATTAATTTTAGTTTTAAGCTGTGCGTTTGGAATGTTTCAAGAGCCGTGAATAATCGGTGTATTCAAGAGGGCTTAAATAATTAATAAACTAGCAGCGAATTTACTGAAGCGAACTTTTGGTGTCCGTATAAACTATCTGCAGTCCCTGCTTAAGAAGCAATGAAACGAAGACTTACTCATTTTATGGTCTATCGTGTAAGCCTTCTGAAAGCGAACAGAGGCCCTTTCGTAAAACATATCTTGTTTCGACGTAAGTTCTAACCTTGCTGATCATCACACTCACCGCGGGTCACCAGCAGATACAGCACGACGCAACTCCACTTCATGACGGACCAAGCGAGACTGCCTGCCTCGTACAGGCGCGGAATTATTCGTTTGCTGCTCGGTAACTCAGTGGGCAAAACACAGAAGATTTTATGGACTGACTACCGATTGGACGACCGGGGTTCGATCCCTCACGGGGGCATAGGACAAACGTGGTTGCCTGTTGCACTTTACAGCACTAATTGCTACAGGGCCACGTCTGGAGCCGGTCTCAAGTTAAAGCGACCTGTCGCTCCACGCATTGGCACGATTCTCCTAGTTCCTTGCAGATGAGTATTGTAGGCTTTCTTTAGTTGGACGGCAACCGCGGGCTAGAGACCCACTGACGCGGCGCGGCAGCGGGTTTCGCACCTATAAAAAGCAATACAAATAACAGCCGCGCGCGGCTGGTCGCGCCAGTGGGTCCCTAGCCTAAAAGGTTTAAGGATTTGTTTTCGTCTTAAGACTTCGGTAGAGAAGAGATTCCATCAGCAGGGCGTATCACGGTCAGATAATGATGACACACGTATTAATAAACTGTAAGTTTATTGACTGAATTGTTAAGTCTGGTGAAATTGTGTCTTTTTAAGTTAGCTTATAAACATGGAAAAGTTAGATTATATATATATATATATATATATATATATATACAATTAATTATAATGAACTTGTAAACGTGGGTAGATTGACATTTTGTGTGTGAAATATCAAAGCCGAAACGAGAATGAGTGTTGGTGTGCCACGGTGAAAACCACGTTCCATCAACCTTCAGCTAGAGAAGTCGCTACCACGATTTCTCGACACTGATTGGTTAATTCGAATGAAATTTCCCTCACAAGAATACACAAAAAATAATTGTAATTGGTAAAACTGTGGGTTGGAGAAAACAGTATTATCCAATATCTATTAGTGATAATTTTCGACTTCCCTATTTATTATAAAAACAAACGTTCCGAAGGCCGCATATTGATTTCGATAAAACAGTTCAGAAAGTTATTAAGGGTGTACAACATCGGTAGTCTCTTTCTTCTGAGGTCAGCCTAAAACACCCCCAACACACCCACCCTCATCCTTCGTCACCCCTGAAATCCAGCCATCGAGTTACGGACGGCGGTTGACTGCTCTGCCAAATTACATTCGACCAGAGCTCCCAGGTAGCTTCATGACCTCGGCCAGGCACTCGTTCAGCGCGGCGCGGAACTGCCCAAAGCCCTCGTCAGGGTCACCCTCGCAGCCCGCACCTAGGTAGTGCAGCATCGCGAAGTCTTGACAGTCCACCGCCTTGTCCCCGTTACAGTCCTGCCAACATAAGCGTTCACAGTCGGCAAACCCTGTCTAATTTTATCACCATGGAAATAAATCGGACACACTTTCTGGACTTGTAGGTATATACCAAAGATTCGGAGGAACATACCGCTTCCATCGTCAGCCGTAAAGTAAAAATGACCTGTAAACAATTATGGCCACGGATATTTCCGATCAGCCTTGTATATAGAGCGTGGAAGGGATCTGCTTCGCTCTCGTCGTATATAGCCTCCATGATTGTGGAAGGAAGGCCTTGCTTCTTTTGAATTATATCCTGGTATCTGCCTTACAACTGAGGAAAAGGACGAAAAACTTAGGTCACGATAGCCTAGTAATTGGACACGACTCGTTGTGCCGACTTTTTAGGAATCACCTCGGCCTTGGCCTGCTGATATCAGTCCACCTCGATTACCCGTGGATGAGTGCCTTCCGGACTAAGGGATTCTCCTCATCAGCTAACTCAGAGTCGAAAATCTCAGCCAGTTCTGTGCTAAGAACCAAGGTGTGTTACTCGCAGTACGAAGACACTTGGATTGTAACACTTGCAGCTTTCGGGCATGCGTAATCCATCCTAGAACGGATAAACTGCTTGTAGAGCAGCGTACCGTTTCTGACGGAGGGAGACAAGCACGCCCAATCTCTGAGCTGCCTTCTTTCCCACCTGGTTGGCGTGTGCCGACCAAGTAAGCCCGATGTCAAGGGTAACTCCAAGGTAACGCTCTGTTTCGACCCACTGTATCGGTTCTCTGATAAACTCCACTGCTGTGTTTCTTGCGGCCTTAAGAAATAGCACAGCGGTGCTGTTTGTTAACAGACGTCGATATTATTCTGGTGTTCTAATAATATCCATATAGTGGATTCCTGCACGTAGTTGTAAGACTGTCTTGAGTTACGTAATGTGTGTCGCATTTGAATGTGTTACTTTCTGAGGTGTAAGTAAAAATGTTCGTGACAGTGGAGGTGAAGTTTATGTCAGAATCTTTAAGCGTGACATGATCGGAATATAAGGTTGACCGTGTTATTTTGTGTAAGACAAAACTTTCAGATGTTATCCGCAGACGTTTAGGGATGTACAAGGCAAGGTTCTTGGTGCAGAGACCGTGTGATTCCATTTGATGCATTAGATGGTAAAGTCTTTGATGAGATCGGGAAGTATGAAAAGTAAGGACAAACAGACAAGGCTGCTGAACTGGTTTAGCGACTGAAGTAGTTCAGTGTCAGGCTTACAGCACCAAAGGCAGCATACGACCTTGTATGTAGCATTAAGAAATAGTGGGGTAAGGTTATGTGTTGCTAGAGCATTTAAAAACGGAATTGTATTAGCATTGAGGGGCGGATGTAGTTTCGGGGTTCGGTTACTAATCGCATTTAAGAACGGAATTGTATTAGCAATGAGGGGCAGATGTAGTTTCGGGGTTCGGTTACTAATATTTTTAGACTGAAGCTTCAATTTTTTATTATTCGCCTCAGAATTAAAGAATATGGAAACCGCTGCTTTAGATGTCGTCATATAAGGTCAGTGGAGTTCGACGGTTTTGATCAGCCATGGTAATACGCCATTGTCCGATCGTTTCCGCTGAAATTTGCTGGGAGACAAGCCACCAACACGTGGTCGCATTTCGGTGAAGAAGGACATTTACTGGTTTTATGAGTTCAAGCTTCGTATTTGTGTTAAGAGAGTGAGCACTTTGGCTGGCCTTGTCTCGTAAGCGCAGTCGCGAGATCACAAGAGTGCAGCGAGACTCAGCATCAGTATTCCTGCATCAGCAGTTCTGCGACAGTGGAAGTTTCTCTCGGTCTGCATTAACAGCCAATGCAGGAATCGATGTGAGTATTTGACAGTGGCTTCTTTTAAAAAAATATATATATACAGGGATTTATTGTAGACGAGAGTTCTACTGAACGTGATTTTGGTGTGAAGCCTCGATCTCAGCGGCAAATGAAACTGAATGACCCGGAGCCTCGAGTCGAAACGTTCTAGTGTCCGAGAACATTGTATTTTTTGGACAGCTACGAGTAGGTCAATCACTGACAGAGAAGTTATCGCCAAAGATATCCTGGTTTTTGAAGTCTCCACTGTTACAGGGTATTACCTTATTTGGTATTTAATCTTGCAGTCAGTTTTAAGACAGATTTAATTTATGGGTGGTAGGCCTATGAATATAATCTTAGTGCATACGAAATTATCTGTGACTGGCTGCAATGGCGAGACATTTTATGCTATCAAACTGGAACGAAAATAATACGCGGTGAGATGAACTTTAGGTCTTGAATGGTCTTTTTAAACAAAAATCTGTTGAAACCCAAAATGTCATCAGCATCGTTTCGCCACTCGAAGTTCGTGTGAACGCCAGCTAGATTGTGCGTACCAAGAAGCTGAAATGACGTCATATCTGACGTTTGAGGTTTGTATCGAGACAAATGAAAAAGAATTCAGTTGGTTAAAAATTAATTTGGTGGAGTGAGTAGAAAGATGAAGCCCCTTTTGAAGCACCTCTCACTTCATCGTGGCATTGGCCATCTTTTAAGCACATCCCCGTTGATCATGCACGTGCTCACCTTGTGGAACCTGGTCATATAACCCTGCACGGTGCGCGCAGCGCAGTACGGGTCCAGGACACAGCGCTGGAACGCTGAAACACACGAGGAACCAGTTAGACGCAGCCTGATGCCCCGACTCCCTTCGCCCGCTTATTGGTACGACCGAGGCTTACCGCCGTCGTCCGTGGCATTGTCGTCCTTGATGACGGGGCTCCCGGCGTCTTTCCAGTAAGGAACGCTGATCCGGAACAGCCCGCACTCGCCTTCCTCGCACCGGAAGCTCCGGTCGCAGTTCGTGTTGGCTTCGCACAAGCATCCCATGCACAGCTCACTCACTGCGGGCGGAGACTGACCTGTGCGAAGCGAGCTATTGAAGTTACATTTCTCACGGCGGCCGTGGTGTTATTTCTCTGCGTGTTTTGTGATATCACCTTCGTGTGGCTGGCCGCGATTTTACAAACGAGACTCTGCACACCTAGTCGGTGGCGGTGTAACCGTTGGATTTCATATTTTATGTTGTTTTTATTTGTTTTGTGAAGTAGTTTATAAACCAATCAGAATTTGGTTTACTTCCATGTTTGTCTTCTGGGTTGTAATATTGTGTGGACTTGTAGGTATATTATCATCGTTTCGAAGAATCACACTGTTGTCCTGAAGATGGAGATAGTATGTTTATCCGAAACCCTGGTCAGGCTATTGCAAGGGGGGGGGGGGTTAGAGCCAGGGCGTTGCCCCGAGTCCCAAGATACTTCTGCACGGCCCTGACTTTGGTATGCACCTACAAATTGAAACAGTGTTTTCCTCCTCAACGTCGGAATCTACCCATAAGCCCACACGGCGTTACAATCCAGAAGTCAACATTGGTATCTTCACCGCCGTGAAAACCTCGGCTCTCACAAAGAGATATTAACTTACCTCGCACGAGCGACACCGCTGCGAGTAGCAACACTGCGAGACACATACTTAAAAACAACTGAAGGTTGCGCCGCGCCTTTCTGCTGTTACATGTTCCTACTATTGCATCCGCCAGACCGTGCCAAGTTTCTTTGACTTTTTATTGCTTTCAGCAGGTTTAATTTTCTTGATACTACGATGTGACAGGAAGGGGAAACGGCTAATAATTTTATATTCCTTGATAAAGAGATAACTCAAAATTTCGGAAAGGACAAATGTTAATTTTCATGAGTGAATGTCACCAACATGACGGCAACTTGCCGTGCCGTGCCGTTGCGTTGCGTATTTCCGCAATGGAGTTCCTTTGTTGTGTCAATGCAAAACTGGCAGGAATGAAATTATCTCATACTTATGTGTGACGCGGTTTAATCTTCTGCAAACCACACAACGGTTTCCATCCATTTAAATTTTTAAAAAAGATGGTCTGCACTTTCGAAGAAACGAAAAACCATCGTGCTGGATAATGCAGACCGGGTGCGTGGTAACATATGGATTGCAGATATCAAATTATAACTTTCATCCAGACATTTCTTATATCTTGTCAGTATTCACAGGGAATGTTTTATGTTACACATTTACCCCTGCGTGCGTGATACGGGAGAGAAGCCTCTACACAGTCGCAGGAACTAACCATCACATATCTTGGGAATCGAACCCCAGACATCTAGTGAATAGCCAGTTTTTTCAGTGATTTTGGTATCGCATCTTATGATTTTGCCTCACATCAGCTGGTCAGGTTTGAAGCTGCTTGTAACTTTAAATCAAGAGTTATCAGCTTTTTTCTTACCTGAAACCACAATTGTCTTTCCTTAGCAAGTTGCAGGCTGCAAAGGGTAAATCATTGAAACACCATGTCAGTTTATCAGAAATGATACTAAAGTAGACCTGCTGTTGTAATCAGGTTTGTGTGTTCTTAGATATTGTTAATAACGTGGTAAATCAATAGAAAAATATTTCACATTGCTTTCATTCGACCAATCTCAATATCAGGTTTAATTTCCACGTACCTCCCAGTATTTATTAGTAAGATGCACCGTAGTTCTTGATTTGGCATTCTTTATTAAATTTAACAGTTTCTTACAGCAATGAGAGTTATAATATATTGCCAACATTAATAAAACACGTTCTATGATATGAGATGACTATTTTACATCATACAGAGTGACAAAACACAATTAAGGATCATGTTAAATAATATTGCTGCTGTTTGATGGTAATTGCATGTCAGATACTGTATCGTGTCATTCTATGCTCAGAACTGAACAGAAGAATCATAAAGCACATGTAACTTTAAGGTTTTATTCCATTTTTTCAGATGGGATTCACACTTTATGCTTGTGTTGTGGCTACCGCTGTATTTGTTTATGGCCACATGGGAGGTAGCAGTGATCTGATGGATCTGTCTCCTCAAGTGCGAAACAGGTTTATTGGTGAGGTGCTTGTCGGAATTGCAAAAGAGCAAAACATTACAACAGACACTCGCCTTGATGATATAACATTTGATGTGAACACAGTAACAAGAGTTGCGTTCACACGTCTACACATCCTGGACACAGATGTAGAAACGACAAGAATTGTGGGTGACTATGAAATTGACAGCAACGACGTGCTGGAAAACTTTCCAAGATCAGGTCGCCTGAACATCACCTTCCGCGAGCTACTGAAGGAGGTAGGCGTGGTGTCGTTGGTGAGTAGCCGGCAGATTCCAACTACCAGGCTGCAGAACAATCATAGCGCAAACTTGAACGCCCTGGTGGACTTCATCTTGATGGTCGTGAAAGACAAGATTCGAGAAAATGGACGGGACCAGATCGAGATTCCAGACGTGGACAAGAACTTCACTGATATTGCATTCTTCCCTGTCAGGGGGAGATTCAGAGCTCAGGGTGGATGGTTTAGGAACCTGTCCGCAGTACAGAGAACAAGTGATACAG